TGCAAGGCAACATTTATCTACCTTATAGAGAAGTTGAGGAAGGCTCTCATATTGGTGTTACCAAACTTTAGTAAGGACTTTGAGGTAGAAATAAATGCCTCAAACTTTGCACTGGGCATAGTCTTGAAATATGATAATTATTTAGTGGCATTCTTCTTGAAGAAGTTGGACAAGGCTCAATGAAGATAGCTTGCCCATGAAAAAGAACTATTTGTGGTGGTCAAAGTGCTCAAGGAATGGCAACACTACCTTAAGAAACACTTCAATATATACACATATAATATGGCAATGAAACACTTCTTATTGTAGCTTGATATTCGAGGAAAATAAGGTCAATAAGTAAATGCTTTAGTTAAGTTCAATTGCAAAATCCTTTATAAACCCAAGAAGAGCAATATCGTGGTAGATGCTCTAAATCATATAGCAAACTTAAAGTTGGCAACATTTAGCGCAACAACAACATTTTGGGATGATGTAGATATATAAAGATGATGATTTAGCATATAGGTGTTGCTAAGGAGTGTGGGATGCTCATTAGCGAAACCAAATACTTAAGGAAGAAAAAATTGGGTATAGGGAATGTAATGGACCCATATCACAAATATAACTGTAGATATCGAAAGTTACCTATTAGCGAGTCGTTTCGGATATTCTTTTTTTATTGCCACAATAACAAAAAGTCAGTATTGTTAGACCTATTATTAGTCCTTCTTGTTCACATGTTAATAAATTTGACTTAACATCTATATTTAGCCAGACGAGCATAAGGAAGGAATTCCTAAGTGTCTATTTAGCTAAACATACTTAGCCCAATTTGTTAGTTCTCTTTTTGTTAGGCACCAGGTCAGGATAATAGGATAAGGAAAGGGCCCTACAATCAAGTGATCACCCCTTTAGCCAGTTGGCTTAGGGTGTAAGGGATAGGATCCTAACATTGGTATTGGAGCCCAGTTCGATTCTCGTGGTTGACGAGTGGGGCAGGAATATTCTAAAGGAATATTCAACATGGTGGATCTAGAGGGAGAACCAAGGTTTGGTAGACCCTAAGAGAAGGACCATGGTGACCGGAAGGTGGCCTAAGGTTTGGTAGACCCTAAGAGAAGGACCATGGTGACCGGAAGGTGGCCTAAGTATGATCGTGGACGATCATTCCCTGACGAGGGTGGCCTAAGGTTTGGTAGACCCTAAGAGAAGGACCATGGTGACCGGAAGGTGGCCTAAGTATGATCGTGGACGATCATTCCCTGACGAGGGGGAGGATTGTTAGGCACCAGGTCAGGATAATAGGATAAGGAAAGGGCCCTACAATCAAGTGATCACCCCTTTAGCTAGTTGGCTTAGGGTGTAAAGGATAGGATCCTAACACTTTTGCTGTGTTTTGCATTGGCTTGACAAAAACCCTGATGATATTTAATTTAATCCATAAATATTGCTAGATGATAGATTACCGTGTCTACCAAACACCCTCATTATCATGCTCCACATGTGTTGGTCCTATTCGGTTCTATTGGCTATTTATAGAAAGTATCTAGATTTACTAATTTGGCATATATATATATAGAATGTAGAGATTGTCTTGAACACGATAGTGTTGTTCTCATGTCCAAATTCACAATTTAGCACCACTTTATATTTAGTAAGTTTTAAGCTAGTACTAAGGGTGAAAGCCCAAAGTGTGCATTCCTCAAAGGGGTGAGGGTTCCAAATATATAATAAGGATAGTGCACAGGTTGGGCATAACTGACCAATTGAAAATATAGTTTACCTCCTGCTTGTGTGCTTGTTTTTGTTATACATATGGCTTGGGTCTAAACCTAAGTTCCTTGAGCAAGGATTTTAAATAACCACTAATCAATGGGAATCAAACCCGTATCACGTACCAAATCGCATAACTCATTGTATGGTCTTGTTTTGCCCATTAAATCATCATTTATTCCGATACCATATTAGTTTTTTAAGCAAAAACGACACACTCTATTTTCCTGGTTGATTTCGCTTGCTAAAGCTGCTGCTTTATAGCTCACACGCACCATTTGCTGATAGATGCCCTTGTGGAAGCTTCTTGTGAGCACAGTATTGCATGGTTACATCTTCAGGAGGCCTAGCATATGCAGTGCGGGAGTTAGTTTAGTAGCAGAGTGAAAGAAACATTATGGTAGTAGAGGCATTTTCTGTGCAAATTTGTCCGTGACAAATTGCTTCCAGTTGAGTGTTCTTCCTTGAACGGATTTGCTCATAGATTTGCTCATTATGAAGACTATGAGCCGGTGTTGAGATTGATATTTCTTATGGCATAGGTGACGTCAGCACGTCGTCATTGAGCGTCAGCCGTAGATTCAGCGTGGCGTGACATCACCCTTTGAGAGTTCTACTTTGGTCTAGGTCGAAGCGCTAGTGCCGGGAAGCCGGACGGTGGAGGTTTTAAATTGAATTGTGGCTGAGCTCCAGATCACGGATCGAGTGGGGAAAGCAAGAGATCTCGACATCTCTGTGAGCGGTGAGTTCTTTTGGGGGGGAATTGGTGTATGAGGCATTTGATTCGACAGTGCGCTTTTCTGGCACTCTCACTGATGGTGTTGGGATTTATAAAGCAGTGTTCTTTGTTTCGCGCTTCCAATCTCCAGCAGCAAGCATCAGCAAGTATCTCTAGGCAGCAAATCCTTGCGAGGTCGATCCAGAGAAGCGCGGCAGCCATGGCGTTTATAAATCCCAGACAAGTTGTCAAGAGGATTGTAGCGCACGAGCAGCCAGAGGGAGATGGTGCGGTTGTGAGGCGGAGCATCGGAAGACCCGAGCTGAGACAACTGGATCCGTTTCTCATGCTCGACTACTTCACAGGTAATTTGACGCGATCAATCGTTTTTTCTTCTGTGCTCGTTCTAATACTTTTTTTTCTTTCGTTGACGTATCTATAGTTTCTCCACCAGCCGGATTTCCTGATCATCCCCATCGAGGCTTTGAAACGGTCACATACATGCTCGAGGTATTCCCTCTTCTTTTTTCCTGATGCACCGAGATTAAAAAATGTTCTTTGCGATGTGTAGGGGGCTTTCACCCATCAGGACTTTGCGGGACACACAGGCACTATTCAAGCTGGTGACTTACAGGTTTGCTAAATCTCTCTGTTTTTTTTACTTGCTTTATCATGATAGTTTCTTCTAGTGGATGACTGCTGGCCGAGGCATTGTGCACTGCGAGATGCCCGCTAGCACTGGTGTACAGCGTGGTCTCCAGCTTTGGATCAATCTTTCCTCCAAGTTTAAAATGTAAGTATAAATTCTTCCTTCGTTTTCTCTTTGCTTCATCAGAGTATCAACCAGCGCTTCTTGTATCTAGGATCGAGCCAAACTACCAGGAGCTTGAATCTGGAAACATACCAGTGGCCGAGAAAGACGGCACCAGTGTCAAAGTCATAGCCGGAGAATCATTGGGCATCTCTTCGCCAGTCTACACTCGCACTCCAACCATGTATCTCGACGTAACCATGCAACCGGGTGCCAGCTTTGCCCAGGAAATCTCCGAGGGATGGAACTCCTTCGCTTATACTCTGGAAGGCAGGCCAACTTTTGGAAGCAAAGGCACGCCACCGATCGAGGCTCACACGACGGTGGAGCTGAGCCACGGAGACGGTGTCATGGTGTGGAACGATTCGGACAAAGCTTGTAGGTTCGTGCTCATCGCCGGGCAGCCTCTCAACGAGCCCGTGTTTCAGCACGGCCCCTTCGTCATGAACACGCGGGAGGAGATTGTAGAGGCGATCCGAGACTACAAAGGCTTTAGGAATGGATTCGAGAGGGCTGCTCACTGGCAGTCCCATCCTTTGGATTTTTGATGGGTTACTGTTTTATAACCAAAGAATGAAGTTGAAAGCCAATAACTACCTTGGGACCTTTTACATATGAGGTCTCCAGTCGAGGAGCCAGCCTACAATACTTGTTATATTCATATGGTGAAAATACAAAAGTGGTAGTGGATGAATACCTGCAAATTTCAGAGTTGACACCAGGCCGTTTCTCCATCTTAGGAAACAAATGCGCCACTGCATCCACTACAGGCAGACTGTCTAGCTCAAAAACGCCATCCCTCTCCAAACAAGCAAGCGATGGAAAAGACATCTTGCTCATATTAATTATGCTCTGTTTATAAAAATTAAGAATGTTCTTTTAATCATAGCTTCTCGTGTCGGTGTCTGATACGTGGCCTAGAGCATCAAACGAGGCAATCGCTGGCAAAGCACAATTACTCCACGCAGCGCCAAAGCCTCGTATATAAGCCCTGTACCTTATAAGATGTTCATCCACTTCCCGTCTTTTCAACTTGAGGCAAAGATCCCTTCACTCCAGGTATTCCGCTTTGGCTCATCCATGTGGTTACAAGTTCCTGATTTTTGGCTGCTTGAATCTTTACCAGATTTCTCACAAAGCGATGGCCTCGATGATGGAAAAGATTAGCGACAAGCTCCACATGGGTCACAAGAAGGATCAAGTCGCGCACAACACCGCTACTCCAGTCCAGTCCTCCACTCCTCCATCACACAACACCGCCCCGGGTTCTTATGGCACTCCCCAGCCCGGAATGGCTACCACAACAACGAGCACCACTACCACACAGCCCCAGAAAGAGGGTCTCATGGACAAGATCAAGAAGAAGAAGAACCAGCACAAGGAGAAAAAGAAGGCAGGGGGAGGCAGCAGCAGCAGCAGCAGCAGCAGTGATTCTGATTGAGAGATCAATATAATTTGATCGATCCTACATAGCTTTCGGGTTCTTGCTTGATCTGATCGAGAGATCAATAAATTTGTAAATTGTTATGATTGCATGGATGGTTTGTTAGCTCGAAGCTCTGATGCTCTGAATAGATCACTAGGGCAAGAAGAGACCCAAAATGTCAGCTTAAAACCTAAGCAAATCATATGGGCATATAAAGTACGCCAGCCCAGACAAAGTACCATCCGTTGGATCTGTCGCGATGGACGGCCACGATAGGCATTATAAGACAGAATGTGTTTTAAGCCCTTTCTCCTCCCTGGCGTCATACCTAAGAGAGGAGAGCGGCTTGATTTCCTGGCGTGGCGCCGGCGATAGATCCACTGCTCCTCGATCGATTGTCGAAGATTTCGGAGCTCCACAGCAGAGGTAATCCGGCGCTATCGCCTGGAATCCCTTGCATGCCAATTCCGATTGGCCTTTTCTTTGATCTCGCGAACAATGCAGTTGGAGGGAATGGCTGCGATTCAGGAGCCGCTGGTAACCAGGGATGCTGCTGGTCTGGAAAAGATCATCCTCAAGGAGCCTTTGGGAGCCTCGGCGGAGGTGAGTCGATTAGTTCCGTCTTAGAGAAACTGGCAATAACGAAAGCCTCTTTCAGGTTTATCTCTACGGGGGACAGGTTGTTTCGTGGAAGAATGATCGTGGCGAGGAGCTCTTGTTTCTCAGCAGCAAGGTAGACAAATGAAATTCGTCCAGTCTATTTCAAATGTTCCAAACTATGTTTGATCCGATTCCAGACGTCTTTCAAGCCTCCCAAGCCAATTCGAGGTGGCATACCAATTTGCTTCCCGCAGGTTCGTAAACAGGAGTGTCTAAGATTGCGCTTGTTCTCTCAACTACTGCTACTTAGTTCGCGAATGTTGGAGCGCTCGAGAAGCATGGATTTGCGAGGAACAGGCTGTGGTCCATCGAGACTGACGCTCCTCCCATCCTGTCAAGCACTAACGCAAGTGGAAGCAATAGCAGCCGAGGGAGCACTGTCGATCTCATCCTCAAGCCTGCGGAAGACGACCTCAAGATGTGGACACACAAGTACGTCGAAAACATTTTTTTTCACTGCTGCGAGTTCTATATTTTTCTTTCTTTCTCCAGTTTTGAGCTGCGGATGCGTCTTACTCTCAAGCGAGGCGGCGATCTTGCGCAAACCATTCGCGTGAGGAACACTGATACCAAGCCTTTCACCTTTACGTTCGCTCTGCACACGTACTTCTCGGTGTCAGATATCAGGTGTGCCATGACCTTTTCTTTGCTTCTTCTGTTAACGAGATTCGATTGATTGATGCGGCAGTGAGGTTCGCATTGAAGGCCTGGAGACACTCGACTTTCTGGACAACTTGCAAGACAGGGAGCGCTTCACCGAGCAGGGAGACTCGATCACTTTCGATGGAGAGGTAGGTTTTTTGATATTGATATCCGGATCTCTGAAAGGCCAAAGATACACAACACACAGGTGGATCGCGTGTATGTCAGCACACCGACGAAGATCGCCATTGTTGATCACGAAAAAAAGCGGACGATAGTGGTGAAAAAGGAAGGCCTCCCAGACGCAGGTAAGACTTGCTTTAAGTGCTGGACTGGTCGGTAACCATTGCTGGTGCTGTTCTACAGTCGTGTGGAATCCATGGGACAAGAAAGCCAAAGCCATGGCAGACTTTGGAGACGACGAGTATTTACACATGGTGTGCGTGGAGCCAGCAGTGATCGAGACGCCAATCACTTTGAAGCCGGGCGAGGAATGGAAAGGCCGCCAGGAGATTTCAGTGGTTCCTTCCAGCTACTGCAGTGGTCAGCTTGATCCGGGCCAAGTCGTGCGCGGCTAGTCGCCACGAAGACAACCACGACGACTACGAATGCAAGGGAGGTTTTTACACAAGTTCGTTTCGGTTCGTTCCTACATTCTTTTGCGGCTTTTGTCTGGAGTTACGGTGATTTTGTGGTCATAGGAAAAGAGCGGGGAGGTGACGATGTAACAACAACACTACTTAGGGGGAGGGAGGGGGCATCCATCTTTTTGCTTACACCAGGTCTCTTACTATTAGCGTTCTTCGTCGTTTTTTTTCTTCCCTTTACATATTTTGAGGACAATGTATATGAGGAGGCCCCTTCGATGTCGATGAAAAGCTTCTAAAAAATGTACTTACAAAGTATGTGTGTATGTGAGGTACATAGTTGGACGAAAAGGGGTGGTGTTTATATTATATTGGCTTTCGTCGTCCTTGTAGTCCTCTTTTCAGTGTACGAACACCACGTAACGAGAAAAATTTGTGTGTCTTCTCAGCTGGGCTCGTTTCCAAGTGACACGATTATGAGAGAGAAAACAGAAAGAGAGCTCACCGACACTCGCTGATACGCGCTATCCAGGACGGACGGCCTAGATTCACTGCAACCAGAATATTCCATTACTTATCAGATATTTGGCCGCCGAGGAGATCGATCGATCCATCACTGGCGGCCGGGTGCATTGCCGCTACGCTGCTAGATTTCTAGAATCCGAGGTGAGTCGGCGCAGATCTAGAGCTCCGCGCCACAGGGATACCTTTTCCATCGACCAGGGGATTACCTTCGATCATGAGGGCGAGAGGCTACATCTTGCCGATCTTTGTGCTGCTCGCATGCTTTTCCTTGGCAGCGGCGGCCGCTCAGCTCGTCAGTAGCGGCTCATCAGTCGACAAGGCGGGATTTCCGTCCGTGTTGAGGCTCAGGAAAGCTGCCAAGGAGGAGTCGTGTGAGCCAAATTATGGCTTCTTGCCCTGCTCCACTGGAGTCGCTGGCAACATTTTCCTGCTCATCGTGTATGGATTTCTTCTGCTCAAGGCCGCGCAGTTCCTGTCCGAGGGGAGTGAGTTGCTGCTGCTCGTTCTAAATCCGGGAATCATCGGTGGTTTGCTACTGCCAATTCTCGGAGCACTGCCAGACGCAATCCTCATACTTGGTAAGCTTTCCATCGACTTTTTGTTCTTCACTTCCAACCAAAGTTTGTGTCGTAAACTTCTAACTTTGCTTTTCTTTTTCTTCGTTCGTAGTTTCTGGTCTGTTTGCGAGCGAAGAAGAAGTTCTTTCCCAAGTTCTTGTTGGTATGGGACTTCTTGCCGGATCAACGATCATGCTGTTAACGCTCCTATGGGGAAGCTCACTCATAGTTGGAAGGTGTGATCTTCAAGAGGTGAATGGAAATCTCGTAGCCAAGGACAAGACGCTTACCAGGAAGTTCGATGTGTCCAGTAAGCTTTCTCTTTCGAATCCTTCCACCCGCGAGATTTGATTTGGCTGTTTCTCTGTAGAAACTGGAGTGACAACTGACGCACAGACAAAAGCTTCCGCTTGGATTATGCTTATTACAGTTATTCCCTACATCTTAGCGCAGCTCCCTAAAATCATTCGCCAGCCACAGTTGGGGCGTTTCTTTATCATCTTGAGCTGTGTCTTGTCTTTTGGCAGTCTTCTAGCCTACTGCATATACCAGGTATGGTATCGTGATAGCACGGTTTCTGCCAAACAAATGTACTACGACTCTTTCTAAAAGCTATGGCTGTGATGCAGATTACGTCGCCATGGATTCAGCAAAGAAGAATAGCTTTGGCGAGGCAACGGTTCCGACTGTTTCATACTCTACAGAAGTTGTCTAGCTACTCCAAATCTAAGAGCTGGGGAGACTTGGTACTTCCAGACGGTTCAACAAACACAGAAGCGTTAACCAAGTGAGTAGCGTTCATTAAACCTTGAGTTCCTGTCTCAGTACATATACATCCGGTGCGATCTACGAATGCAGGTTGTTTTCTTATTTTGATGAAGATAAAAGTGGTCATCTTACGCAGCATGAGCTCAAGGCGTTAATAATTGGGCTTGGTATCGGCCACGAGTCGCTCTTGCCAAAGGAAGAGGAGGTGAAAGCCTGGATGAGTGACTTTGATCGATCTAGCGACGATAAGATCTCGGAGTCTGAGTTTATTAGCGGCTTTACTAGGTGGACTAAAGATCTTCAACAACCAAAAGAAGAACATCGTGATAATGATAATGGATGGGACACTGAAGCACAAGTAAGCAAGCGACCGCATTGAAATCTCTGGCTAACTTTTTGGTTCTCTTTTCATGAACACTCAGAGCGCACAAACGTCCTATATGGCTTTGATGGATGGTCAAGGAGGAGGAGAAGAAAAAGAAGAGGAAGAATCGGGGGAATCCATGACCAAAAACCAGATAATCACCAAAGCAGTTCTACTCATCGTGCTTGGCGCGCTTATTGCTGGTATCTTTGCCGATCCTCTGGTGGACTCGATCGAGAACTTCTCCTCTGCAACCGGGATCCCGTCCTTCTTCATCGCTTTTGTAGCCACGCCACTGGCTACGAACTCAAGCGAGGCAATCTCCTCAGTCTTGTTCGCTGCGAAGAAGAAGAAGCAAAACATATCGCTCACATACTCCCAGGTGAAGTGTAGTTATGCTTGAGAGGAAAAATGGTGCTGACCAGTGCTCTTTGCTTTGGTAGATTTATGGTGGAGTCACGATGAACAACACGCTGTGTCTCGGGATTTTCCTGGCTGTTGTGGCTTACCGGGGCTTGACATGGGACTTCTCGTCGGAAGTTTTGGTGATCACTTTGGTGGCTTTGATCATGGGTATATTCGGAGGCACCCGGACAACGTTCCCACTTTGGACATCGTTTATTCCTCTGGCTCTCTATCCCCTCTCCATATTGGTGGTCGCGCTCCTGGACTACGTTCTTGGATGGCAGTAGCAAGTTTTATATAGTATGGTATGTGGTTTTTGTTTACGTAACATACTATTTCTACGAAATCACAATATTTTTGTTGTGGGATAAAAAGATAAGCGTTTGAATTCATACAAGTCAAAGTTGGTGGAAAAAAAACTTTTTTTTTGTACCTGCCACGTGATATCATTCTGGTTTCCGTAATGGATGCGTCAAATGCACGGCTGGCTGAGACATTGATGATCGAGCCGCCAGCGTGCCGCGCATCCGACCGTCGAAAATGGCACTATCCAGCGGCCGTGATAACGCCACCGCCGCAGGCCACGTCGTTTTTGCCCCGCGTGCCCACTGCCGCGTCATCCGGCCGGCATTGGCTCGCGGGACGCCACGTGGCCGGCATCCCCGCCTGTCTCTTTCATGATCGTAAGCGCCGACGTGTACGCGTACGCCAGCCCTCCACGTATTTGAACGTGGGCTGCCAGGTCACCAGCTTGAAGGGCCACATCTCCTCGGAGCCTAACTGGCATCGCCAGCCGTCCGATGCCATCTCACAATACTCCTGGCTGGCCCATTGCTCACACGCCGCGTGTCTTCCAGCTGTGGAAGTATACGTGTTCTTTCTTCTGCTACGCGCCGGCGTCCCATTGGTTGTCTGCCTGGCCCACCTTAAAGAGAGAACCTGCCACGTCACAGGTCCGCCCAGCCACGTCTGTGCGCCGTCCCTTCCGTACCTCTTTAAACGTATTGCGCCATAAGGAGTTTAGACAATACATGGGCGATCGCCCTGTATTACCGTATGAGCATACGGCGCGGTGGGCGCGCGGCCTTCCCAACGAACACTCTCTTTCTTCTTGTGTTTGCGAGACCGTGGCATCCATGTTGTATAGGGTTTGGATGTGTCATTCTCGCGTGGACGCGCGAGGCTCTAGGGCTTTAGGAAAGGAGCAACGCAATAGCAGCGCAGTGCACTGGCGTTGAGGCGCTGGTGTGGATTATCGGCGCCTCCCAGCATTGCGCACCTTTGTCTCCTCGGGAAAAGCTCCATCGGGCATAGATTCTTGTGACAGATCACGATCTCCAGCGCTTGTTCCTCCAGTGATGCAGGTAAATCCGCTCCTCGCAGCTCCCGAGCACGCATTTCTCTTGCGCGGTGCTGCGCCAAACGTGCCCTATACCAAACTAACTCGAGCTTTTGTCCGCGATTGTCAGCTATAGGTGGTCTCCAAGCATGGGATCTGGGGACGCAGCCACGCCGACTAAGACTCCAAAGACATCCACAGCGCAGGTGGGGGCTCTTCCTCTCAAGGAAGAATTTTTTCTTTCCGTTCTAACTTTGTGTGGCATTTTGCACCAGGATCAGCCATCTCCTCCCGCAACTTACCCCGAGTGGGCAGCGGCTTTTCAGGTGTGTGTGTGTGTGATAGAGCTTTGCTTTGCTTTGCTTTTTTCTCTGAGAATAGAGAATTTTCTTTCCTTTAGTTTTGTGTTGCTCATGAATCTAGAACTTTGTTACAGGCTTATTACAATAGTGGAACGCCCCCTCCTGGCTATCAGCCGCATCCATATATGTGGGGAGCTCAGGTAAATTTCATTGCTCTGCGTCACGAATGTGTAGCTCACTTGATGGTTTTTTCTTGCAGCCGATGATGCCTCCTTACGGGACCCCACCTCCATATGGAACCATGTATCCGCCCTACGGCATGCCGCCGGTACGAGTATGGTGTTGTTGGTATCGACTTTCCGCTGATGGAAGGAATCCTTTGTGCAGGGGCCACATCCTTATGGCCAGTATGGAATGCCAGCACCGGGAAACGCCACTGAAGTATGCCTCTTTCACATAACTGTTCTTTGGAATCTGATTGTGTGCTTTCAGGGAGCTACAACGGATACTGATGGCAAGTCTTCCGACGGCAAGGAGCGAAGTCCCATGAAAAAGTCGAAGAATAGTAGCTTAGGTAATCTCGGAACGCTGAATAAAGGAGGAGCAGAAGCTGCTGCTAAGACCGCTGCTCCCAACGGTGTAGTGTCACAAAGGTAATACTCGCTGCTGCTTGTTGCGATATATAGCTCAAACTCGAAACATTCTGTTCTGTGTTTCTGTACAGTGGCGAGAGTGGAAGTGAAGGATCCAGTGATGGCAGTGACGAAGATGTAATAACTTAACTTTGTCTCTGTCACACTTTACGCGGCCTTACGTTTGTTTTGGCTTTATCTTTCAGGGCGACAAGAGGAACTCGGAACAGATGAATGCCGAAGGTACTTAGATCTTTTCAAAGATATCAAAATACACGTCGGTGCTTATTAAGCAGTCATGCTTCAGGATCGGCCCCTAGTGCTGGGCAGCCCGGATACTCTGGACAAGTCGGGAGTGCTTTCGTGTCCCCGGGTATTCCTTCAAATCCTGCCGGGGGGAAGGCCAGCGTAGGCACTAGTCTTAACATGGGGATGGATTACTGGGGCTCAACACCCACCGGAAACCAGTCGTCTGGGAAAGGAAAGCGTGGTTCCCAGTCAATGGTGCCCTTGCCAAGTGGTCAAATGTTACCTCACGGAAGGGAAGGGGTTCCTCCCGAGCTCTGGCTGCAGGTAAATATTTCCAGGCTCGTTCATTGCACTGAATTCTATACTTGCAACAGGATGAACGCGAGCTTAAGCGGCAACGAAGGAAGCAATCAAACAGAGAATCAGCGAGGCGCTCACGATTGCGAAAGCAGGTACTTTCACGCTCTTCTATCTAGTCTGGTCTCACCAATGGCGTGATTCACAGGCCGAGTGTGAGGAGCTAGCGCAAAGGGTCGAGAGTCTAACCATGGAAAACATGAGCTTGCGGCAGGAGCTGGAGCAAGCCATGGAGGAGCGGAACAAACTAGCGGCTGAGAATGCAGCTCTTCTCGTAAGTTCGCTGACCTTGTTCTATTTGGATTGATCCAATGTCTTGCTCTTGCAGGAGCAACTGCAAAAGGGTGGAGGAGGCAGCCGCGCTAATCAAAGTCAGGACGTAGGAAACAGCGACGCAGGAAATCACATACAGGGCGATGAAAACGGCAATACAGATGCGAATACGCCGCATGAAAGGAATGGAAGGGTGGAAGGCGAGAACTGCGAGACAATAGGAAAGGCTGCGATTGAGGCGGCTAGCCGGGGCGAGGCTGTCGCGGCTGCTGGTTAGATTTGTTGGGGCGGCGGACCTTCGAAGATCAGATTCGGACATCCAAGTGACCGTCTCGATTAGTAGGAATTAATACACAGGTGAGCAGAGGTGATTTCTAGTCCAAGAGAAGGTTGTTTGAAACTTAGCGTGATTGACAAATGAGTGCCCTCCACCGATTTGCGAGGGGACATGTAAGTGTTAACCTCGGAAGAGAAAGGTATTTGGTATTGCCAAGCAAGAAGAGATCTGCTTTTAAACACCACTCCTTTTTGCTTCAAAGCCTCTCTAGCACGTCGAAAGAAGGGACAACATCCACCGGTATCTGCGTTAACAGAGCTAGAAAGATGTGCCAAGAATCGCGAAAGAAATCAAGCAAACCTTTGCGTCTCTGACCCGAGAGAGCATGCGTTCCAGTGCTGGTGTCACGGTCGCGTATTTGCTCAGAAGAGAAATGGCGGCGGCCTTGTCCCCTAGAGCCTGAACAGTCATAATCTCGGTACAGAGGCTCTTCACTGCGTCCCTCACCTGAGGAGAGTCCACGAGCAATTACTTAGAAGTCAGGGAAGAGGAGCCGGCGCTTACCTTGTGAAAATTGATAGAGAATGTGCCATCCGAGTTGAGCTCGAATCCTCCTTTGTTGTAAATCCAGTTGAATTGCAATGCTTGTCCTTTGCTGTTGAGATCCCACCGTCAGTAAGAAATAAGAATGGAAAGAAAAATGCTTGCTTACCCGTGAGCCTCCTCCAAGCCAAACCTTATGGAACGAAAGCAACCAGCCAGAAAAGAGACATACATAGATTTTTCCAAGTCCCTGGAAAGTAGTCCCTGCGTTTGCAAGGGAGATAGCGTTTAATCGAGAGCTGAATGTTTACTCCATACCTGATCCAGCAGATAATGAAGAGCCCACAAGCCTACCACGTCAGCTTTAGCCTCCTCCAATGAAGAATGGCACTCTTGCAACTCCTGTAATGTTGTGTTGTCAGTCATGCAAGTGAAAAAAAATTGAACTGATGGCGTACCAGCCTCACAGTCGACTCCCTTCCATCTGGGAGAACAATAGTATGTGGACCAATTCCATGACAGCATTCATGGCAAATTGTGTGCGCAAAGAAAGCCTCGAAATCCACATAGTGTTTCTGTGACTCGGCAATGCAGACTTTTGCAATTGGCAACAATATCTGGTCAAATCTGCAACGAGGAAAAGCACGTTGAATGTATCTAGTTACTCCAGAGAGTGCGTGCTTACTTTGTTTGCGAGACGTTCTTGAGCATAACCATAGCGCTGCCTCTCTCCTTTACAATCCTCTCATCATTAGGCAAGTTGAATGCCACAGTTTGTGGACCCTTGACGTCCTGTAAACGAGAGATGAATACAAGGAGTGAAGAGATATTGTTCGCTACTTACTCCAGAGTTAAATATCAATTGAATCACACGGATCGGAGAAGCTTTTACGTTCGTAGACTTGTACTTGTCAGCCAAAGGTAGATTGTCTTCCAAAGTCTGGGTTCTTGCACGCGTAGAAAGTTTAGAAAAGAAAGGTCGACGGAAAGGACCACACCTGCAGTTGTCCACTGAAAAGACGAACTTGCTCTGTCGCTACATGATCGCGAACTCCGATAAAAGCTTCAAAAGTCGCCTAAAACAGGAGAAAGAAAAAACTCAAATTTGATGTAGCAAAAAACTGGTTGGAGCCCAACCTTATAACCAAATAATGCATCTTCATACGTCTCGTAGGGCCCGATAGTAACGTCAATTGCGGACTCCTGCAGAAGGAAAACATTTCCGTTATGGATTGTCTATGACATAAAACGCCATACCAGCTCAATCCACGCAACGTCGGAATCAAAATAGTCATTAGAAACAAATGATTCTGCTTTTGCCTTGAGAAGGCGCTGCAGACTTTGTAGCTAGAACGTGTTAGGCGACAATTTGTTAGCAGGCTTCTTTACCTGGGGGTATCAGCACAATCTCCGGCAGTATTGAGAAGCTTGGCCGCATCTACAAGATATGGCTTGTACTCCTCCGAGTATTTCCGGAGAAATAATCCGCGGCTAGCATCAGTAGCATTTCTCCGAATAACAGTAAAAAACGCGATTGCATCTTCTTTTTCCTGTTCGTTTAGTGTGGACTTCCAAGCCTCAAACTCCTGCCACAAACTATCTGTGAACCAGCAACGACACTCCAAATGGCTTACCGCTTTGTCCATGTCCAGAGGATAAAAGTTTGCTCCAGGAGGCTTAATCACCGGAAATGCAGCTCTGTATTCCAAGCCATTCCAGCCGTGAACACTTCGTACCGTTGCTTTCGTAGATTTAATCGCAGAATCAGCAGTTGTCAGGAACGCTTCGTTTTCATCAAGACAAGACCTACACGAACAGGAGTGAGTAACCGGTCGGCGATTCGTAACGCATCATACCATGGGCTTTTATTGATCCGGAAATAAGAAAGCTTCAGGTGGTCGAGCTCTGAGTTCTCGCCATTCTTTTCCAGCCAGGAACTTAAGTCCGGGTTGCTCGAACATTCCTGACACATTACATGAAGAACTAAAAGGTTAGATGACGATTATGCACCTGCTCGATAAATATTCTATCCAGAATCTGTGCCGCGCGTATCGTGTAAGACAATGCCTTGATGTCCCCGTCGCTGACGCCACCAATCTGCAACAGACAAGAGCCAGTGCCAATTCATTTCATGCACCATTCTCACCTCTCCAGTCAGATTGACGGGACAATAGCGACTCAGTTGGCTCTGCAAAGTCGAGATTCTATGCTTGGCGTCTGATGCGTATCTGAGTAGCGAGAGAGTAAGGAAGCAAAGAAGTGATAAACAAATGCGTACCTCTTCTCTAGAGACGAAAACAGGAAGTGATATTCTTTATCCATGTCATATGGAAGATAAGCTGGATCCTTCTTGATCAAAGCCATCTTGTACTCTTCAATGGACATATACTTGACATCGGAAACTTCTGACTCCTACCAGACTTAAAAACTCCGGTAAGACAAAATACCGCAAACTCACGCACCTAAAACTTAAGCCACCTGAAGCGTGAAAGCCTCCAAAGGCATGGGATCGATGGTTGTCACAAGGTAGACATCGTTGTACTCATTGTTTATAAACTTCCCGTCGTTAAGGGCGCTATACCCAGGCACACACAGTGAGATCCAGTTTACATAAAGAAGAAGGAAAAAAGCTTACACTCTTTGTAGGAAGACGAAGAGAAGCTCAAAAGCATCCTCCGGTAAGATGATCCCAAGCTCTTCTTCCAGCTCTTTCCTACAGAAGTAAAGCGTTCGTTTCTACTAAATCATCGAGACAAACTAAAGAGAAAACCTGACAGTGTGTAGCGAGGTGTCCCCGGCGGAGATATGCCCAGCGGACGAAATGTCCCACAGCCCGGGCCATGAGTCCTTGCAATCCGCTCGCTTTTGCAAGAGGATTTGCTTCGTGCTCTCGGCATAGATGCACACCTGCACTGCTCGATGGTAGTCGCCATCTCTGTGCACCAAATTCCTGGCATTCTCAGGGCATCAGACTCAGCTCTAATCCATGAATCGCTACGCGATACCTGGGCTTGGAGAATCCAGCGTGCGCGCCTTCTGGCGTCAGAACATCCAGAAACTCCTCCATAGCCAATACCCTAGACCTAAAAGGACCAAACTTGATCGGGACCGTCCAATTTCAAACGGTCAAGGACAGAATAAGTATAGTATATTCACTGAATTTAAAATCAAGATTAGCGCCACGAACATTTAAGCGCTCTAGACGCTGGAGCGAATGGAGCTACTGTAGGAGGTCTGGCGGTCAAAACTCACAGCATAGAGCATGACGCCGCCATATTTCGGAGAAGATCTGATTGTAGGAAGAACTTGGGAGATCAAAGTAGAGCTTGGCATGAATCCTCCAGATTGAGCAGCCGAGGACGATGCCGGCAATCCCATGAAAACCCTGGCCGAGGATGGCGTGACCGAGTCGGACACCCACGAGTTCCAAGAAGAGAGGATGTTTGATGCACTACTGCCATCAAACTGGCACGAAGGATTGTTGTAGAACTGGACGAAGATGTAGTTGAAGAGGCCCGAGATTTGGATTGTGGATCCGAGGTTGGCATCTGGGATTGGACACTGTGGAGCTGCAGCCAGGATCATAGATCCATCGAATCCGCGGAGAGCTCTCGCCAGATCAACGTAGAGCTGTGGAACGGCACCTCTCTCAATGTCAAAGTCGACGCCGTCGAGTACGGCACTGCCGAGGGGCCGAGAGCTGGAGCTCCCGCCGAGGAAGGTATTCCAGATGTAGCTCGCCACGGACTGGGCATCGCTGCTCGATGAGAGGCCGTAGCTTCCAGCGCTGCCACCAATGGAGAGCAGCACTCGGATCCCCAGCTGCTGGCACTGGCTGATCTCGGAGCTTAATCCGGTGCAAGTCCCACCCGCTGGATCGCAATGTCCGGCGAGATTGAGCACCGGAGTCTGGCCGTTTCCAAACTGGGAGAGGAACGAGACCATGATGATCCGGTAGTTCCCCGAGTTGCAAGCATCGAGCAAGCTTCCTTCTCCGCCATCCTGTCCCCAGTAAGTGGCGATCACGCCCGTGTTTTGGCTGGGTGCTGCTGGGCTTGGAACCGAAGGAGGATTTGATGATCCTGGGCACTGGAATTGGCAATCGACACCGCAGTAGGCATCGGTGGTGCCACAGAATCCAAACCGGCTGCAGCACATCCCGGAGGGGCATAGCCTGGTCTCCGAGCATGATCCATCTTGCGCTCGAGCACAAGAACTCGAGAGGACGATCAGAAGGAGGAACGCTGCAATGCGGAAAATCGAGGAGGACGCCATGGTCGTCTGTGAAGAACTTTCTTCAATGGAGGAGGCGAGTATTTGAGTACTAAAAACACGCTGCTTTGACTTTGAATGGTCAATCTTGTGATACGCGTCGGAATCGAAGGTGGATATTCCATTCTTATTAGAGCTACCACTTTTGTTTAGCTTAAAGGTAAGAGATTCTTATCTGCCTGGCAAATGCGTCACGCAAAGCCTGATCCGAGCCGTCCATTATCAAACGGTATTTGCACGCTATTGTCTGGCATTAGTAAATGCGAAGAGGAAAACACAGTTTGACTTTGACTTGTACTGCGGAGACTAAATCGGATTGGAGCATAAGTCTCGCGTCCACCAACCAGGTCGCCCGACCGGCTGACCGGCTGACCACCGCACTAGCCACCGGCTACACTGGGTGGCGCGTGCGTTGGTCACCGCCACTTTCGCGCCACCAGCCGGTCACAATCTCCCGGCACGCTGACCAGGTCAGATGTTGAACGGAATATGCGGGAAGATTCTGGTAGATATGGAGAGAAACCCGGTGGCGTTCTCGAAGCTTAGCTCTAGTAAACTAACCGATGGGAGAGGGCTCCCCAGCGTTCTTCTAGGGTTCGTGGATCGAGGCTATCAGGGGCATTCCCGGCACTATCTTGCCACATTTTGCTTGCAATGAGGTCGGATTCCTAGGCGCTGGGGCTGGATTTCGCGGATTTCGTCCACACCTAGTCCAAGATCGTTATGAAGCGCAGCTGGTCTTACAGCGAGGGCCAGGGTCTGTCCCTGGATCGCAAGCCGCCAGGCGCAGCGGCGCCGCCTCCCCCTCCTCCGCCACAATCTCGCGGTACGTCTCTCTCCCTCGCATCGTCGGATGCGTGCCCATCGCCAGATCGCCGCCGGGAATCGCCGTCGGAGAGCGCCAGCTCTCGCGAGACCTGGCCGACGGAAAGAACAGGGGAAGAGGCAAGAAGATTGCCGGCGGAGGCGGCGACGGTGGCCAAGAGCGATGGCGAGAGAGAGAGGGACAAGCTCCTGAAGGAGGAAGATCAACACGAACACGATCACGATCACTCCACGGTCGTCCACCAGGTGGTAAACATGGACAGGATCCAGCTCCGCGACATAGCGCAAGCTCCCATCGAGGCCCTGGCCAGCAGGTTCCACGCACAGCCCGACGAGTACCTGGAAGAGCTCAAGGCGGAGCTCCGCGAGGTTCTGACCGGCATGGGTGGGCCGAGGCAAAGGGAGGAATTCGTGCTCCTCCAGAAGCTCGTCCAGGCGCGAGGAGATTTGTCTCCCGCTTCACTCATGCGATCCCACCGGACACAGCTAGAGCTGCTGGTGGCGATCAAGACTGGGATCCAGGCGTTCCTCCACCCGGATATATGCGTCACCCAGTCGGCTCTCGTCGAAGTTTTCTTCCACACCAGGTGCCGCAACATGGCATGTCACGTTCAGATCCCCGTGGACGACTGTAGCTGCGAAGTTTGCAGCGCCAAGACGGGCTTTTGCAGCTCGTGTATGTGCCTCCTCTGCGGGAAGTTTGATTTCGACGTCAACACCTGCCGCTGGGTGGGATGCGACTCTTGCTCGCACTGGACTCACACCGACTGTGCGATGCGAGCTCGGCAGATCACAACGGGAACCAGCTCCAAGAAGAAGAAAGGTGGCGGAGCTGCTGCTGCTCCCGAGATGATTTTCAGGTGCCGGGCTTGCGGTGGCACGTCGGAGCTCTTGGGCTGGGCCAGGGATGTTTTTCGAGCGTGTTCCTCCGACTGGGATATCAACGAGCTCGTGCGGGAGCTGGACAGCTTGCGGCGGATTTTCCATGGCAGCGAGGACCAGAATGGTAAAAAACTCCATGAGAAGGCTCACGAGTCGCTCGAGAGGCTTCGAAGTGGGACCGATGTGAGCGTTGTTCTCAAGGAAATACACCGGCTTTTCCAAGGTACGGTTTTGTTCTATTTTGCTCAATTTTTTTCATTCTGCCCCTAGAAACGGAGGTGGAGGAAGCGGATGATTCGAGCGAGGATAAAAAAGTCGTGGAGCCGCAGGAGGCTTGCTCACGTATCGCGGAAGTGGTGAAAGAGGCCGTTTCAAAGATGGAGAGCGTTGCTGCTGAGAAGGTCGTGGACGTGAAGCGAGCTCGGCTGTCCCTTGAGTCGTGCGACAGGGAGGTGGAGGACAAGAGGAGGGAACTTACAGAGCTCCAGATCGAGAGGCAGCGCAAGAGGCAGCAGATTGAAGAGCTGGAGACGATCATCCGGCTGAAGCAGGCGGAGGCGGAGATGTTCCAGCAGCGAGCAGACGAGGCAAGGCGCGACGCGGATGATCTCCAGCGGATTGCTCTGGCCAAGTCAGAGAAAGTGGAGGAGGAGTACGCGAGCAGGTATCTCAAGCTCCGACTCAACGAAGCCGAGGCGGAGCGGCGGTATCTCTTCGAGAAGATCAAGCTCCAAGAGATGTCACGGACTCAAAACGATCCGGCACAGATGGTGACAATGTGTAAGATACAGTACTTGCTCAACAGATCATCCTCCAAAAGGGACGCCACCGCCATGGAAACTTCAGCTCCTACTCCGTGACACGCCAAAACCCAAAACGTACGTGAAACTTTCTCTTTTCTCGTTTCGATTCTGAGACAATCAAGCTTGTTTGTCTGTTCCTTCTAGATGGATGACCTACTCACTCAAGAACAACAAAAAGGAAAGAAAGCACAGAATTCCTCTAAAACGTATCATCACCACCATGGGCATTTTTTTTTTCGGTGGCTCCTTTCTTTCAGGTATGCTACTTATACACCGTGACTCTTTTCTACTACCAATTTGATTGGATCAAACTTACCATGTTCACGTGTGGTGAATGGGAAGAGAAAAGGAAATAGGACACTGAAGAATGGAATGGAACGCCCAGAGCTTTAAATGCGAGCAGTTGTTTAGTAGCGTCCTCTAGAAAGCTCCATGATTGACTAAACCTTATCCCTTAATCCGTGCAAGGCGGGAATATCCGCGGCCACGTGTAAGCATCCCGACCGGCCGTTACCACATCCGTCGCAGATGACCGAATTTGCGCCACGTGGCAGACTGATCTTCCGTTTCGGAATTTTTGCCGGCGGCTGGCTGGGCATTCCGAGTCGGAAGATTCTTTTTGGCGCCCGCGTGGAGTGAGCGTCTTTGGGAGCGCGACGAGAGGGAGCGCCGCCAAGACGACGCACTAATCCTCACAAGCTACCTGTGACTTCCAGCTCGCGCCGCGCAAGCAAGGCGCTGCGATCAATCTCATCCGAGCAGGGTTTTGGATCCAGGTAGGGATAGCCAGGAAATGGGTGGATTCTTGTCTGGCGCCCAAGATTCACGGAATTTCTAGCGAAAGCACGCCCTCTACAGCTCTCCATACCACATCGTACTGTACCGGGAATTTACGAGGCCACAGCAATCGGGGACGAGGCGCTGTGGCCGGGAATTGGGGCTTTTGCATGGGTGAATTGGAAGATCCCGCCCGATGACGGCAGGAACGCAGTGTCAATCGCGGCGGCAGCGTGCCAGAATTCAACCCAGCAGCGATGAGTCTTGCGAAGATCTCGATCCGTAGCGGCTGGAGCAACGCAGGACACTAGTGGAGCATCCAAGGTGGAGTGTGCGGCGACAATCATCAGGGCCCTCATGGGGTCCTGCCTTTCGTGCGAGGAGCAAGAGAGAAGCCACTCTGGTAGGAAGGACAGGAAAAAGGAGGCGCGGGAGGCCTTGGCAGCGGAGGCGCGGCACGATCAAAGGCTTGCGCTGGTCACCGGGAGGATCTGTTCCAATGGAGCTTCCAACAGCGCTGCCTGTCTCTTCACGCAGCAAGGGCGAAAAGGTGTCAATCAGGACGCCATGATCGTGTGGGAGGTGAGAAGAATTTCTTTTGGGTCCTGTGTCGCTTTCGTTTGCTAAAGACTCTCTTTTGGTTTAGAGCTTTTGTTCCCGAAAAGATACAACTTTCTGTGGCGTTTTCGATGGCCACGGCCCTTATGGCCATCTTGTCGCCCGGAGGGTGAGAGACTCGCTTCCATCAAAGCTGCTCGCCTACTGGCAGGAGGCTACGGAGTCGAAGAACTTGTCCGATGGTGGCGAGTCCGAGAAAGCCGAAGAACAGGTGCTACCGGGGAGTGACTCCGGCGAGGAGGCACAGGAGCCTGAAATGTTCAAGGTGTGGAAGGAAACGCATCTCAAGTCGTACAAGGTGATGGACAAAGATCTTCGCGTTCATCCCATCATCGACTGTTTCTGCAGTGGAACCACGGCTGTGACGCTCATCAAGCAGGTCTTGTTCAAGCTTTTCTGTGTTGCCAATGGCTCTTTGTTCCTGTGCGCAGGGAGACGAACTGGTTCTTGGTAACGTTGGGGACTCGAGAGCGGTAATGGGATCTCGAGCGGATGACAACTCTATACGAGCAGTTCAGCTAACTGTCGATCTCAAACCCAATTTGCCCGGTATGAATATCTCTAGTACGACTTGGAAATGTGTGTGTGACCTTGGTGTTCGTCAGCAGAAGAAGCAGAGAGAATAAGGCAGTGCAAAGGTCGAGTTTTTGCCTTACACGACGAACCCGAAGTTGCCCGTGTGTGGCTACCGCACGACAATTCACCGGGGCTGGCCATGGCGAGGGCGTTTGGTGATTTTTGTCTCAAGGACTTTGGAGTGATTGCAGTCCCAGAGGTGTCATACTACCGTATCACAGAAAGAGATCAATTTGTTGTTCTTGCTACGGACGGGGTGAGTAGACAAAGTCACCATTTTTTAAGTTTGAAGTTCTTAGTTTCTCTTTTTTACTTTCAGGTGTGGGACGTGCTGAGCAACGAAGAAGTCGTCAAGATTGTGGCCACAGCTCCAACAAAGACGACATCGGCTCGATCGCTGGTCGAATCCGCCGTTAGAGCTTGGAGGCTCAAGTACCCAACATCGAAGATGGATGACTGCGCAGTGGTGTGCCTCTACCTCAACAAAGGCAAAGACGCCACCGCCACCCAAGAAGCAGTGGTGAAGAAAA